TTTATATGTTCAAAACAATAAAGTGCTTATGAAAAAGCTTTAACATTATCATGGAAATAACATACATATGGTAGTGAGTGGTTTATGCCCCCCAATTTAATCCAAGCATGACATTTTTTATTCTGAAAGATCACAAAATTTTCTTGCTCAGCAGAAAATAACAGACTTTTTTACTTTTTAGTTATTGAAATATGCAATGATTTGACCAAGATGCATTTGGCCTTAAACGTTTTATTCCTTTATATGAAGTTATTTCGCCTTTATCACTTTGTAAAGTATTAAAGTTTATTTCTAATAAAGTTTGTTAGGGATTCTGCTGAAAATTTTAGTGAAGCATTTCTTTAAAATGAATATATTATTTCTATAATATGAAACATTTCTGTTCTTGGAGAACAGTCTGTTTGCTATAAATACTACTGTTTGTAGTCTTTTATACAGCATATGAGCCTGACCCAATCTTTAATTTAGCAAAGAGTTAAATTTATTGGTTGAGGAATGACAAAACTTCTATATGTGTTTAATGATCAAACAGGGGTGTGTTGGAGGGAGCTCAGCCCATTTGTTCAAATTTTATGCCTTGTATTGCCAGTGAAATATATATATCAAAAAGCTACCAGCACCTAAATATATATCAGAAAGCCAACAATATTTTAATATATATGAGAAAGGCAGCAACAGTTGTAATATACATTAAAAAGCCCAAATAGCTGAAATTATGGAGATATGCCTCTGTGATCTTATAAACCAAAACCTACGATCAAAATATCATTGACAAGTCTAGAAGAGATGTAATGTTCTACTTTGAGCAACCGAAGTAGGGTACATTTGTACAATTCATTACCAAAAATATATTGTACTCAGCTGTTTCAGTGAATATCCTAATTATAATTACTTCATTTTTAAATGATGAACTAAAAATAAAAAATACAACATGGAAAATCATAAGAGTTTCTGTGATTTGGTGTAGTTGTTTTAGTGTGGAAGTGGCTGAGAATTGAGAGGTTTGTAGATATATTGTTGAGCAATTAATAAAAGACATATTTTATTTTAAACAGGGCGGGACACATTTGAGATCACAACATTATAAATTTATAATACACAAGTCGTGAATCCAACAACAATTAGCTCATTTCAGTACATTCATACAAACTTCATTAGTTTTTCAAACAAAAATAAATTGAGTTGCCACACTTCTTAAAAAGTCTTGTATATTTGTCGCTGCTCAAGTAAACGTTTATGGGGTCATTGCGAAACAAGATGGTCATCACGTTTTCAACTGCGCATTTTTTGTGATACATTTCGTAAGACGAAAAAATTGATAAAATTTAACCTAAATATGTTGAAATTTGCTTACCGGAATTGCTTTTATCGTGCTCTGTTTCAATTTCAATGAGCCAGATTTTGTTGCCTTTATATCATTTGAGCCTCTACGTTCGCGAACATCATACTTATCCATACTAACAAGAAATGTATAATTTCAAACTTTTAATTTTATACGGTTCTCACCATCTTTCGCAGATTCTTCCTAATTATCCGGGGGGGGCGTTCGAGCTGATAGTCACTGAGCTATATAAATTCAGATCAGTCTGGTGAAACTCCAGTGTTAAACGTGTCAGATTGACTAGACGCACTGGATCAGTGAGTCGACATTGTTTCAAGTTTAAGCCTATGCAATAAAAGCATAGAAGCTTTTTGATTTATGTGATTACGACTGGTTCCTCGTACATTTTAATTGAGTTTGGGAATTCGTAATTTCTTTACTTCTTCATCTTCTTCCCTCTTTTCGCAGTAGTTAAAGCCAGGTTATGCCATGCTTATTTTCACTCATTTAAATCCCTTATTCAACGTCAGAAATACCAGCGAAAAGACTACACAAAATTAGGGAAGTTAAAATCTAAATCACTAAGCCGATGCATTTTATTAAAAGAAAGTATTGCAAATTTTGCAGTCACGTTTTCGTCGGTAAAGCCATACACGTTACTCCTCCCTTGAGTTAATTAACATTACACGTTACCCCGCACTTGAGTTAATTAACATGTACGATCAACCTAAATTAGTTTTAATTTTTACATCCTTTATTCATTCATTATTTCTTGGGCAAGTCTTTCGACATTTTGGTGAATCTGGGATAGTGTCATAAATTCTGATTGCTCAATCACATTTACAATAAAGATTGTATGGTCTAACGAATGACATTTCAACCAAGTCTTGCCGTTGATGCCAACTGCAAACTCAAACGGAATAACTTTTTGAAGTACCTTCAATATGGGACCCTCAGGACTGAGCATTCTTTAATAAATTTTGTTAATTCTAAAAAAAAAGTTCGACCACATTAACAAAATTATAAATTTAAAACCATGATAAAGAATAATTCACTTTCATTGCAAACACTTCTTTGCATGTATACTTAAAAAAATAAATTGTGAATTGGCTAAGAATGCGGTGATGAAGTTAAACGAAATACATAATTCATACTTTCTTGCCAAACCCAATGAATGTGTAAAAAGGAATCCATCTTTCAAAAGTCCCATTCCATTTGCTTTACCATTTAGGTCTGCACAAACCAATTCAGCTTCCATGTCTTTGTTGGCTATTGATAAACGACAATACACAACATCTCCAATCTATTCAAGAAAATGAATTATTCCGTAACTTTGAATATCTGAAGTTGTAAATTTGTTTTTATATAAAGTAATTATATGAATATAATGCATTTCAAAACTCAACATATCATTGATTAATCTGATCTGAACAAGAGAACAAGAAGTCAAATTGTTACAAGATGATAAACACAAGACGAAAAGAAAGCGGTAAAGAAAATAAAGCAGCTGTGACTGCTTAGCTGCTTCGTATATTGAAAGAGTTAAGGCATCATTCGTTTCGTTTTCTTTGAAACGCTTTTTAATGAAAGTAAAGTGAAATTGGTGAATGTTAAGAACAGAGCAGCACCAAGAGAACGAACAGAAAATATAGAGACATAATAAAGATTGCGTAAGTAGATGGAATTAAATGGTGAAGCACAAGAGTCAATTCTAAAACAGACACAGAAACTGCAGTATTTAATTATTGACGGTATGAAATCCTATATGTTAAAGTCCGTTCACAAGATCCGATTGCTTCGGTTCCGACTTTTGGTTGCTTGTTCAGATGGTGCGATAATTTTGTTGATATTTATATTCGTTTAGATATTTATAGTCGTGAAAGCAGGCACTTGTGCTATCTAGTACATTATCGATATATTTTTCGTATTTTTGTTCTTGTTTCCAAGTCTTTTTTCAAATTTATGTAATTGAACTAGCAGCTTTCTTTGATCTTGTCGGATGAAAATAGAGCAAGTTCTATTTTCATCCGATTATTTAGATTGACGGATCCAACTATAGTAAGCTCGGTATATGTGTTCACACAATCCGTTTTTTAGGATCCGACAAATCAGATTGTGTGAACGGGCCTTAAGATGGGTATTTTTTCATTGAGAACATTTGAAATCAACATATGCTGTACTCATCTCCACACTACTGTGATGTTATTTTTAAACAATACTTCAGCTGGCAGCCATTCTTGTATACACAATTCGGAATATTTGGACATATCAAAAGCCTCATCGATATCGATTTGATTCATTCGCACCACTCCGTAACGATAGCAAAGTGAAATGGTTTGTTCATGGCAAAGATTATATGTCTGCCGTTGCTCATGCCATTGTAGCTGCACACAAGGAAATACTGATTACTGATTGGCAAATGAATCCATATATCTTTATGAAAAGGCCTGATAATGGCGTCGACAGTTTGAAATAGCGACTCGATCTCGGCGGTGATCATACAATTTCAACTTTAAACAAACAACCCAATATAGTGGTTTATCGTCATCCACACCGTTTCAACGTATTAAAACACCTTTTTTACGAAAATACTATGGAGCCATAATGAAAAACGTATTATTATTGACAGGCGGATAGCTTTAGTAGGTGGAATTGATCTTTGCTATGGTCGTTGGGATACTCCATCTCATGAGCTGATGGACGATTATCTACCTCATCCTTGTGCTGAGGAACATTGTGAAAATATGGAAGCAGGTAACACATATAAACGATATCGTCAATGGGTTGGAAAGGATTATAAAAACGATTATTATTTGAACAGCAGTAAAATTAATTGGGAAAAGCCCAATGATGATTATGAATATATTAATAGAAGTCAAATTCCTAGAATGCCATGGCATGATGTTGCGTGTGCGTTTACCGGCGATGCGGTCTCGGATGCTGTAAAGCATTTTCGTTAACGATACTATGCTAAACCCAGTAGGTGGACGTGGAGTCTTCAACATTTGCCAATAGAGCTTGATGTATCGGACAGTAAAGTGCTTGATATCGATGACAGCTTATTTACAAAGGTTAACATTCAAGTTCTTCGTTCGGTTGACAATTGGCCAGCTGGGAAACCCCACGAAGCCTCCATTTATAACGATTTTAACGCAATTGACAATGCAGAGAAATACATTTACACCGAGAATCAGTTTTTTAATCTCATCCTAACCTGAAGTGGAGAATCAGATTCAATCGGCTTTGGCGGATCGCATTCATCGTGCCTACAAGAATGGTGAGGATTTTCACGTGATGATAGTTATGCCTTTGAAACCAGAGTTTGGAGCCGAGGATTGGAAATCAAACTGGCCATTAAATAGTTTAAAAAGACTTAGTTACTGGAACTATGCCACTCTTTTTTCGGGGAAGCACTCATTAACATATAAACTGAAAGAGTTGATGCCAGACATTTCAGTGAATAGTTATTTTAGTGTCTATGGATTACGAACACACGATAAAGAATAGAAAGTTGGAAAGTTTTCACATTTCTTAAGATGTCGTCTTCTCAAGGAACATTTGGGGCTTTTGAACACGGAAAATATAGTAACTAGCTCGAAGAAAGTACAGGATCCTTTGTTGCAATCATTTATTACATTTCTGTAATAAATGGTGGTTTGGCAGGAGAATATTGCTAAAAAATGAAGCGAGGAATATGGACGACCTCAAGAAATGGATGCAGGAGAAAGGTTTCGTCCACACTGATCAAAACCTTGCTAACGAAGAACTGAAAAATATTCATGGACACATCGTTACGTTTCCAGGTCTCTTCTTAATAGATGTACTTAGCTCTTCAATAGTTCACAAGACTGGAGTATATAGAACGGCTGAGTAAACGTACATGTAAAATTAGCAAAATGCGCGAAAATTCAACAGATCAATTCCGGCTTGGCACATTCACTAGCCAGGTGCATTTGCAATCTTTTTGAGGGCAGTGCGGGGACCAAAGAGCAGATGCTGGAAGGATGTTGCCTTTCCTCGCATAATTTATTTTTCAAATAATTATTTTCAACATTAACATGCTGAATTTGTGCGTGCTTAAGTGTTTAGTGACGCTTAAAAAAGTTGGTTAAAGCATAGGCGGCCCAGAAATCTGTTTATGTTTTTTATGCAATCGATTTATGTAGTAAATATATTCCTTGATTTATATGCAATGTTTGTCACGCGCTATCTCGCGCGAGTTACACGTATGTATAGTCTTACAGGTCTAATATTTTGACAAGGTTGGCAACTCTCAACACAAAATTGCCAACCGTTAACACAATCACTTCCAGAAAACCGTAAGTATCTTATAAGTACATGGAAAAACACGATAAAACGAATACATCTCATTAATCACGAGTAATTTAAATGTATTTTTGCAGTTTTTTTTAACATTAAAATGTATTTCTATGCATACGAAAAATGAAAATATTTTAAGGGTTTGTGGCAAATATTTTCTTCAAACCTATGCTAGGGACACTTATCTAAACATTCGTCATATTTTTGAATGCTCAAACGGATTGCAGATTCGCTTAAGTTTTGTGAAAACAAAAAAAAATTGTAGCCAATCTGAATGAATGAGAAAATAATAATAATAAAATAAATTCTATGCATGTCGTGCAACTTGTAGGTTCATAAAAGATGTAGATGTAAATCTTTATGTAGATATATTTTTTAGTAATAGAACGCAATTTGTAGTTGATAGGGTTTGCTTGGGCGAATGTATAACACGTCAAAACCTTTTCCAGCCGACAATATAAAGAAATATAAGAAAAAACATAGTCCAAAAACAAAATTCTTTTAAATTCAATATTCAAGAAATATTGAGACCACGACTTTATTTCAAAGTATAATTATCAAGCCAAGTGATTATTTAGAAGCAAGCGTGATCTTAAGTAGTTGTTCAAGGAAATGACGTATGTAAGCAACAAAAAGAAAGTTCTTCGAATGGTTTGAATCTGGGTTTGTCATTCATGTTAATTTCATTTATTTAAAGATCTTTCAGATTGTTGTTATGCTTCAAAAATTATTCAAAATCGTCTTCAAAGTTTTTAAAAATGATTTCCGTATAGGAGACCAAAACGTCAAACGATTTTAAATAATTATTTATAACAACACTCCGAAAGATCTTTAAACAAATCAAATTAATATGAAAAAGAAAGATCGCAAGTGTTCCTACTTACAAATGGTAAATATTGCTTTCAAATCATGTCTCTTGCTAATACAGTTAGCTCGAATATCGAGTTTACAAGATGAAGTTTTTTGGAGCATGTTTTACATCTTGTATAACGGGTTGCAATGCTCGATTTTCTTGCGAAAAATTAAAGGGAGGGGGGAGCACCATTTGTCAAAAGCGGACTCAAATTGACTCTAACTCATGATTTTATTGTCATTAAAACTAATGATGTTTCACCTGAGCCATCTGGCATTGGATGACGCAAGGCAAGGCAAGGCAAGGCAAGGAAAAACTAAATGTGCTTCCCACTTGACGACAATTTTAACATTTAAAACTGACAGTTACGTAAGCTTTAAATGATACCACAGAAGATGGCTTTCGATGATAAAAGAATAGGATTGTGATTAACGAATCATACAAGGTGCAATTACTTAGTTCGAGAGCAAGCTCGCGATTATTCAGGACCATCGTCGGAATGTAACACGAAGCTTCCACACCTGGAGATGATTTTTGAAAAATTGTATGGTCAAAGAATACAAATAAAAATATACAAAAATACCAAAAGATAACTTTATGAAATTTTGCATATTAAGGTGGCGTAGCCAGTACGCAAATTTTAGTCCTGCTATGCAAATTTGCGTACGCTCATACGTATCATTTTTCATTCCTTGAAATCCTTGCGAAGATCTATTGTTTCCACGTGAAGCAAACGGAAAAAACTATCATACTGGCAGTGGCGTAAATGATATGGACAATGCAATAAGCTTACAAGGGGGCACCGTGAAAGGTGTGATTTATAAAAATACAGAAAAGAATAGGTTTACATTTGAGAACTGGAAACAGCGTATATCGTTCGCAGTCATTCGCGAATTCGTGTTCCTGATAGTAAATTAAAAGTACCTTTTGGTATTTTTTTCTATACATAAATAAAAAAACAAGTTGATATTGTGTTCTAATAACGATTATTAGGAAAAAGTTTATGTTAACAGATTTCGGTGGAGGAGGGGAGCACCGCCATCCTAGAAAGATCATAGGCAGCTTGGGGCAAATTTACGCCACTGCATAGCGGACCAATTATGCGGGCTGACCATGCAAAAGCTTGCTTTTTTCATTTCCTACCTTTAATACTGTGTTTGAAGGCAGACTCAAAATGCAAAACATCCTCAGACTATTGCTATGTCAAGTTAAGCTAGATTATATGATGCCATTTTTTGTGAGGGGTTTAAAATATTTCGAAAAAGGGATAAGCAATTTATTCAGGGGGGGGGGGCAAAATCTGAAAATTATAAGGGTGCCCCTTTGCACTCCCTCCTCCCACACAGAAAGTCTGTCCATGTCCTAAAACAAACAATGGACATGGATTTGGAACCTTCCAATGTTGTACAATTACGATTAGAAACAGAATGAAATTGTCCTGACAAACCTCCCATGCATACTTTTGATGCACTCGTCCTTTTTGCTTTTCCAAGTGAGTAGTATAAGACATGGGGGTATCAGCGCAATTAAGGCCGTGTTTTCAAAGGGATACCATCGCAAAAGGCCATGTAAACAAAGCTGTGCAAAAAGCCCATGTTTTCAAAGTAGTGGGAAAAAAAGGGGGGTAAAAATCTCGAGGTTACAATCTATCGTTTAAAAATATGGAATCTATATGTTTTTAAAATACATAGGTGCGTTTTAAATTTACAAATAAATGTTAACAAAGCATCAGTTCGGAGGGGCTCGGCAGCGCAAATTTTAGCGTAGCTAAAATTGAGCAGGGGATGGAGCCCCGAGAATCCTCAGCAACGGTGGGTGATTCACGAAGTGAATCAGGAGCGCACCCGTAGTGTCCGAAGGACGACAGACATAACATATGCTCTTTACAAAATTTGGAATCTATATATTTTTGAAATATATAGGTGCGTTTAAATTTTACAAGCAGTCTTTACAAATAAATGTTAACGTAGCATCGGTTCGGAGGAAATTCGGCAGCGCAAATTTTAGCGTAGCTAGAATTGAGCAGGGGAATGGAATTTCCGAGAATCCTAGGGCTCAGCAGGGAAAATTTTCACGAAGTGAAAATTCGGAGCCCGAAGTGGCATTCGAAGAATTCGAAGAATTCGAGAATAACAGACATTTAACATATGCTCTTTACAAAACTGTCTTCAACAACTAATTGTTAACAAAGCATCTTTTTAAATCGTTGTCTCGGGCAAAATAATTCAGGCCTAAGCCTGAAATTTTGAGCACACAGACACACATATACTCTTTAACAATTAAATAGCATTATAACCAACTTTTACAATTAATTTTTAGCATGGATTTTTGCTGACGTCATCATTTTTTATATATTGCTTTATAATGACCATAAGCAAGAGTATTAATACCATTATTTAACATATGCTCTTTATAAAATATGGAATCTATATGTTTTTTAATTTGTCTGTCAAGCGCGTGTTCCTTAGTGCATGTTTTTAATAATGGTTGGTTAATGGAACCAGCACATGTAAATATCAGCGCATGTATAATAATACAATGTTTTATATAATTTTTGTTAAAAGTGTTTGTTGCTAATTGTTTCAGGATTTCGCATTTTTTTGTATATCGCTTTTGTATTAATTACTTATTACAAACAGTTATGTGATATGTAGTCAAACATGAGGATTATTCTTCATCTTCAGTTTTAGCTTGATAGTTATCTTTAATAAATTTTTTTAATTTTTCGATTTCATCATTTACAAATTTTTTTAGTTGATAGAATATTATCTTCTATAGTAGCCCCAAAATTTTGTGAAAAACCATTAGATGTCATAGATAATGTAGATTGATGTTGTGAATAAACTTGTATCTGTGGTTAATCCATTAAATGCTGTCAGCCATTTTATTTTCCATTCGTTATAACCAAGTGAAACTGAAGATTTTTTTGATTCAATAATAATATAAATATAGTTGAAATCATCATCAACACAGTATACGTAATATAAATCTAGTAATGCATTAACTATCTTTTTTTCATTGTCATTTGTTAGTTTAATGATAAATTTTTTTTTAATCTTATCTACCATCATATCTAATTCAATTGTTTTAGAGTTATCAGACGGATTTATTAATAAAAGTGTAAATTCAATAGATTTAATATTATTAAAAATAATTCTGATAATATTTTGTAGGCTATTAGAAGATGGGTTATAATTTAATTGATTACTATGGTATACTACTTTACCATTTACTCTGCTATCAATCTCATTCTTTGTATAATAGTTAGTTAAATTAGAAGTCAAAGCATACTTACCATCAGCTTGTGTTTTAGTATAATAGTCATTAAATTTACCATCAGCTTGTGTTTTAGTATAATAGTTAGTTAAATTAGAAGTCAAAGCATACTTATTATCTGTTTCATTTTTTGTATAATATTTATTTAAATTAGAACTTAAAGCATACTTACCATTTGTTTCATTCTTTGTATAATAGTTGGCTAATCTTGAAACAAAAACATATTTATTATCAGCTTGTGTTTTAGTATAATATTTTAGTAAATTAGAAATCAAAGCATACTTACCATCAGCTTGAGTTTTAGTATAGTAGTTATCTGATAGATGTGTTTTATCTACAGATCCTTGTATTTTTACATTAATATCTGTTTTATCATGCCCATAAAATAAGCTCATTTATATTATTCCTCAGATTTTATATCCTGTTTATTATTTTTATGTTCGTAAATATGTTTAATGGTTGTTATACCACCAGATAAAAACCCTAAAAGAGGTAAAAATGGTGATACTTTTTCTACTAAACTGTACACATCTCGTTTTAAAAGGTTGTCTGATTTAAGCTGTTTTGTTAATTCTTTGGGATCTTCAATAGCATCAAACCCTTTTAATATATCTGAAAATTTTGATATAATTAAATTAGTTAAAAACTCATTAGCTTTTTGTAATCGTTTTTTCTCGTATTCAGTCTATAATTTATCAATAATTTTTTGACGAGCTTTTTTAATGTAAGCAACTGAACTTGTCTAAATCACCATCTTCAGCTAGTTTAAGTAGTTGATCTCTTTTATTAAAACCCTCTTGCGGTTTATCTTGTATATTTTTATCACATAACGCGTCTTTGATAATATCATTTGTGGAATCAATCTCATTAATTATATCATCAATTGTTTCAGGCTCTTTACGCTTTGGCATATATATATATATAACACATGTTTTATTGCGGAATAACAATTTTCCATTTGTATGGGAACACAAGTTGTATTTCTAAATGTGCATACTTATTATTTTTCAATTTTTTGGTTATTTCTTCTATATCATCTTTCTCAACACCATAAAGATAATCATCAAATATGGTTTTCATATCATTAAGGTTTGTATTATAAAATGTAACTAAATAACTTATCTTTTCACGATAAGGTTTGGCAATACTTGTCAATTGCTGTGTAATCACAATTGTAGAAAGCAAATAATGACGAGCACTAAATCCTAATTTTATTAATTGCGATATCCTATTTTTAACATCTAAGCAGCTCCCACAATCGTCAAGTATTATAAGACTATTGGAGCCTTTATATACATCACTAACATATTTTAAAACAATATCTACCTGATCTTGGGTCACATTCTACCTTTATTAAATCAGAATCATTTATATATTTCCATTCTTGATAGGTTTTATTATATGATAGACTCGGACATAATAAAATATTGTAATCAAAATGGTTATTAAAGTTTTCTTCTAACATTTTGAGAAGGTAAAAAGATTTCCCACAATTGGTCATTCCTAAAATAATCATATTAAAAGGTGTATTCATTTATATATTACTGGTTATTTTAGTATTGAATACTTTGTAAATCATTATTAACAAATTGAACAAGAGCATCACTAACAACATAGATGTAACAGTTTAAATCTTTTGTATATGCTCTTTTTTTAATCTCTAGTAAAACACCATTTTGAGTATTAATAATTTTTTTACCGTTACCAGCAATATTTTTTTCTTGAAAGGTGCGTAGATCGATAACTAATGCAAATTTATCCTTATAAAATTTTTCAATTGTCATGAAGCAATCTATCGGAATAGTTCTATCAAAAAATTTTCTTGTTTCTTCATAAAATTGTTTTTTATTCATACCTGGGGCGAAAATCACATTAGGCACCCCCTCGATAGTTATTTTAACTTCATCAACGTTTGGGAATAAAAATTTTTCACTATCACTAATTGAATTTTCTGTGAATAGAAGTACAATACATTTCATGCTTTTGCGAGGGACATTTACGTTTATATTCTGTAATGTACTTGACTTATCCCATTTTTCTTTTTTTAAAAGGGTTATATGTTCATAAAATAGACTCCTTCCTATAGCATATAGATTTGTCACCTCATCTGCAATTTCTTGATTTTTAATAGTTTGATATTCAAGCTGAATATTATTTAATTCATAATCACCTATAGATTGACCGCTTTGTGCGATAAGGACTTGATCACTCGGGGGTAATGTTATTATGTATTGAGGGTTATTATTCATATTGAAAGGGCAATACAAACCGTGGTCTTGAATAATATTATCAATATTAATTTTCTGTCGTGTACCATAAATATCATACATTAATTTGTCTGCTACTTTTTCTGAATCTCCACTTGTTTCAGCA